ATTTCAAACACACCAGCCACTGTTCCAGAAATCACTTTCCCTTCTGCTCCACTCCTCATGCCAACTCTGTAGCCCCTCCTCCAACCCTCTTCCCACTGCATAGCTGAAGCAGTAGAGTCCACTGTGCCCTTCCAAACCTAAGACTGAAAATTTCCTGAACTGAAAATGTTTCAGGGCGCAATCAAACCGCATTCTATGACACACAAATACCCTATCTATAACTAATGGCAGAGGACAGATCCTTTGCATTTCTTTAACACAGCCCAAGATCGTGCTTTACAAATGGCACGTGCTTTACAAATGGCAATGAACTAATCCTCCCAGCCCCCTATGAGGTAGGTAGGTATCACTATCCAACTGGGAAACTGGAACACAGAGAAGGTAAGTGAAAGTCAATGGCGGAGTGGGGGATGGAACCCACCTCTCCTGGGTTGTGGCTTTAGTCTCTCAAAGGAGAAGGCTCAGCTATATATAGAGAGAATCAGATTCAGCAAAAATCTCATTGCCAACCAGTGTGTGTGTGTGTACGGCGGGGGGAGGAGGGAAGCTTGTCTCAGGAACATGATGTGATAAGAGGTCTATAATGCATAAGAAATGTATGTCTTGTCACGCTAGCTTTCCCTGCATTTCCTCCATTAGGAATGCAGTGTGTAAAGTCAGCTTTGTGATAAATGATGGAGGGTGACCACACATTCTCTCCCAATGGTGAGACCTGTACTGGTTTTAAAGGAGCTGGGTTGTTTTTCTGCTCTTTTTGATTTTCCAATTTTCCTTTCTGTTTCGCTAGCAAAGGGAATCCCACACAAATAAACACGCCGGGAGGTCAGAGGACTGGTTTGTATCTGATTGTAATAAACATGTTTTTCCTTGTTGAAATCTTTGGTGAGTCATCAACTATATAAAACACAACCCAGGGAACCTAAGGACAGACCATGTGTGCCAATCGCTCAAGTGTCTGATTTCTTGAGCTTCTGAGCCTCTGTTACCAGGGTACCCTCGGAAACTCTTTAGAATGCGTGCGCTGCCTTACCGTCTAGGCATCATCACACACCACACTCCCAAGCAGTTGAAAGTCAAAGGCTATTAGGCTTTAAGCATTCCTGCACTTCCTGCCTTCCTTAGGGCTGAAGGGCCTGACCCAAAGCCCATTGAAACCAATGGGAAGGCACTCACTTCAGTGAGTGAGTTCACGAGATACAATGTCTTTGTTATAGCAAGTACCAGTAGTAAAAGCTGCTAAGAAGTTTTTCACATGCTTACACCAGGCTGGCAAGGTCACCTCTTGGAGGGAAACACTGTCCAGGCTGAGAAATGTCACGTCAGTTGCAGTCTCTCATTCATCTCCAGTTAGTAACGTAGCTGATTAACAATAAAATAAACCGCAGTGCACCTTCAGTAGAATTCTGCAAGCAGTAATTGATCATTCTTTCAATCCATTATTATGTATTAATAATCTTACCACACCCTGAAGCGAGGGTAAGAAATAATCATAGTATATGTAGTGTTTAAATGGTAAAACATTTTCAAACCTTTATGTATCTCTTGATGGCTAGCAACATGCTCACACAACTCACCTTCTTTGAGGATATACAATTAATTGTGGCTCCTCTGATCCAATTAATTTGATCATTAATCAGTTGCTCAGTTAACCACTGAAGACAATAGCAATCCTTACCACCTTCTCAATAAAATACTACAATCGTGGCCTGATCATTAGTCTAATCAGTCTTTGCACTTTGCCACTTGCAGTTTTATTTGTGCAATTGCAGGAGTTATTACTGGACCTGCCATCACTTAATGTGTTGATTGGATATGGGTTTCAAGAATGATCAGCTGCTGCCTGTAGCATCCCACTGAACATGCATTGTGGACTGTCAAATTTTCCTGATGTAACTGACATGGGGTGAAATTCACCTGTGATGTGCTTCAGCAGCACTGTGAGGCTGCAGAAAGAGTAGACAGGTGGGGGAGTCTCTATGCCCAAGGTACTGCAAGAGGGTGCCTGCAACTAAGTTTGCATGCAGAGGAATTTGCATGCAGAGGATGGGATATGGACCATGCCCTACCACCCTGTCTAGGTGTTGCACAAGAGCAGCTGCCGCCACTGCAGTCTACAGGTTGAAGAGCGGCTAGAGAGGGACTGTGTTGCTGTTGTGGGATGGCCTGTCCCAGCCTCTGCTAAGTGACCTTCACAAAACCCAGCCACTGGAGCTTTATTTCACCCTACATAATTACTGGCACATTTTAGCATGGAAGATTGCAAGAACACTGCTGAATCTTCCCTCAGCAGGAGAGGGAGACGCATGGTCAATGGCCATAGCCAGGTACGTATGGGAGTGAAGGGGCTTGATTGGCTGGACCGTGCAGCCTTTGGAGCACAAGCAATTGGGGAAAAAAACCTTTGCAGATATAACCACTGAGTCAGGTTCGCCCTGATGCTTGGGGTCTTAATATTTGTTGTTGACATGTATTCTGAAGGTGGCAGTATGTTCCTGGACATATTCATGCATCCTGATGGTTTCACACTCTTTAGCAAAGGTTAATACTTGTCTTGAACATTCATAGCAGAAAGTGCAGTGGGTTTGTTGAGGCTCCTTCAGTTTAAAAACTTGCAGTCATCCAGCCTATGAGCAGGAACAATGCCATGTGACTTAGCTTACAAATCATGGACAATGGATGGTGAGCAGTCAAAGGAAGTAGAAGAAACATCCAGGCGATAAGCCGGATTGGCTCAGTGAACAATTTGTGAACTGAAAAAGGAACTAAGTTTGTACTAGTGCTATTCACAATGAACAGGTGGGCCAGCTCTGCTGATAGGCACTTCAAAGGCCAGGTGCTTGGAAAAGGTGGGTGATGCAATGTGATGTTCAAAGCTCTGATGGCATCACATTATTCAGTCAGCACTCTGGTGATTATGTCTACATTTGACAGGAATGTACAGTGAGAGGGCCAGCTGTGTCCCTGGTGGAATTCTAGTGAAGTCAGTGGAGGACACGGGTGATGAATTGGGCTCCCATCGCCTGATAGCTCCCCTTGTTACCTAAAGATAGTGATTGATACGAATTCACCAGGCTGGAGGCTGGAGCTGAATAGAATCCTACAGGCGTCCCACTGGGCACAAAGGCTGGCTTCGCACTGGGCAGGCTGTTTACTCAGCACTGGTGCAGCATAGGGATTGCAATGACGTTTCTGCTTTTATAGACTTTCATGCCAGGTGTGACCGAGTCACAAGCAACTAGAGTGGTTTGATCTGGGATTACACAGTGGCTTAGTGCCTCTCTTGTGACTCTTGCCTCCCAGGCTGTTGTCCTAGCAACTCCAGCTGGTCTGTTCCAGCCAGAGCCAGAGAGTGTTCAGCAGTGCTGTCTACATGGTATAGCAGGCACATCTGTGAAATGCTCTCCCCCTCGTAAAGCAGTTGCTGCTAGCAACTGTTGTCCACATTGCGGCTGCAAACACTCATTGCACTTATGTGTCATTGTCAGCATAAATTCCTAGGATGCCACATCTTGCAGCTCCAGCACCTGGATCTGCTCTGTGGCAACTGCAATGAGCGTAGAGTGGGACGTATGGGCAATCTGTCGGAGTCTCCCTGGGCTTTTCATTACATGAATGAGGTCAGCTTGTGTAATACATACCAGATTTCCTTCGCTGGGTCTGGTCTTATCCTCAGGACAGCCTTGATCCAATCTCCTCTTCTGTCCCCTTTCCTAGCCCAAATCCCCCACACACACATGCTCCATTTCCACCATTGGTAAACTTGAGCCTGCCATCCATCTGCCATCAACGTTGTGCATTTTGCATCTCTGCTTCATGCAGCGTGACCAACCCACAGCCAGTTTAGCTTCTTCACATGCTGCAGAAAGTTCCCTTTCCATCAGCTCACTCTGCTAGCAGTTTGGTTGTCATATAAGCCCAATGACTGGTAAGAGGGGATATGTGTGGGGAAGGTGCATGTATCTCCCAGGATTTGTTTCGCCTAATAGCAGCACTCCCTAGATGGGAGGGTTAGATGGAAACGTCTCTCAGTGCTGGGCCTGCCATGCTCACCATCCCAAAATCCATGGGCCAGCCTGATTGTCAGGGTCTGTCCTTCATCCTGCCAACCTAGCTCATGAGGTACTTTAAAAGGTCCCTTGGACGTATTTGGATCCTCATGACATCATATTATGCAGTGCAGCAGTGCAAAGGGTGGCTGACTTGCCCTTGAGGCACAGAGGCAGCGCATGGTGTCATCATGCAGGGTTACAAGTATCCTGACATCAAGACACAAAGGTCGCGATGATATAACCCGTTATCTCAAGGTAATTCACTTTGTCCCACTGGACAAATACAAACATGTGGCAACCCCTAATCCATATCAGTGATGCTCCTCACCACAACAAGAGCCAGGAAGCAGGGCTAGATAGTTCGTTTGAGCTCTTTCCCAGGACTCTGAGCTCATTGGGTCTGATTCTCCTCCCACATACACCATGGTTACTGTGTGACTCCTTACATGTGCCAGAGCAAGATTCAGCCCAGATGAGGTGGAGACAAAAGTGCCTCCCTGTATCATCAGCTGCTGGTTTTACCTACATGGAAGAGGGAGGGATTGGAGCAGGGCCAGCCTGCTGGCTATGTGTCCGTTGTGCCCCTGGAGCAATGCTAAGGGGCTACCAATGGGCTGAGCACCTGACCTTTGGTGGTTATTTGTATCACGGTAGCATGTAGGAGTCCCATGACCCCGCAGTGCTAGGCACTGTGTGCTGTACTTCCAGGGAATGACTCCCGTTTCCAACTGGTGTAAGCAAGAGGAGAATCCAGCATGCTATCTTCCCCATCTCCAGCAGTCCAAGCAGAGCAGGGATGACAAGGCTTCTGAACACTAGTCTTCTCCCCGCACCATCTTTTCCTTTGGGTCGCAGTACGGCTGCCACCCACACAGCCACCAGCTGAGCGGGAGAACATTCTCCTTGCACTTTTACGTGGTCTGATACAGATTTTTTTCCCCCCTCCCCTAGAAAAAAGAGCCGGTGGTGCTGGCCAAGAAAGCCAACAACACCTACAACATCGTGGGCACAACGTACGCCCTCAACATCGCCAAGGACCCCAGCCTGCCCACCATCTCCAAGAGCGCCACCGCCACCGTGTCCCCCAAGGGTCCCCGCGTGGAGGAGAAGCCCCCAGAAAGCAAGAAGACCTACAACAGCGTCAGCAGGGTGGACAAGATGTCGCGCATTGTCTTTCCTGTCCTCTTCGCCATTTTCAACCTGGTCTACTGGGCCACGTATGTAAACCGGGAGTCAGCCATCAAGGGCATGATCCCCAAACAATAACCCAGCCACACAAACCTTCCATCTATAAATGCCATCCAGGCAGGAACTCTCGGGGGCTTTCATCTTCTTCTTTGTTTGATTTTTTTATTATTATTAATAAGCTTAATTTGACTTATTTTGATTATTATTAGAACATTTTTAATGTAAACAAAACTGTGATATTTATTTAACCCTTTTTTGGTTTATTTTAGTTTATTTTTGCTGTTGATGATAAAAAAGGATCCGAAAAAAAGTGTGCCTCTAACATCGTGGGTCTGATGTTCCCCCCGCCCATGTCTCTCCCTCTCCACTCCCTGTGAAATGAAAGCTGCTTGCATGCTGTTTTCATTCCATGCTAAGCTGGTATGTTTTTCAACCTCACTCCCACCCTGCGATAGACTGCTCTGGTTTTGTGGATCCCTATTGCTTAGAGACTCCTGGCAACATAGGGACTTCAAGGATGCAATGACCTCTGTGGACATCCTGCCAGTTGGGCTGACTTACTGTGTTATTCTTTGCTTTAGCTTTATTCTGAGAGCAGCGACTGGTTTGTGAGCTGTTCAGGGAGCTGCATAGCCTCCACTGCAAGGCAGCCTCTGTGTTACCATAGTCAGCTGCCATTAGGGGACAGCCATGTAGCGTTCATGTTTGAACACAAAGGGTGAGGCCGTAGCTGTGGTATAACTGGCTGTAGTGTCATGTAGAATTCTTCAGGGCTGCCAATTCTCCATCTTCACCCAATCATCTGCCTTACATCCTCCTTCCCTCTCTCCGGGCAGAACCGAGCACCCCTGTCAGAGTATCCTCTTCCACTGCAGTTCTACCACTCTCTCCTACTGGAGTGAAAACAAGCAGGACGTTGGTTATTTGTGCCTCCAGAGGGCACCTCATATGGTGCTTTCCATTAGACAGAGAGATACGTAAGTGTCCTCAGGGTGAATCAGTGATTGATCTCCTTGAGGAGCACCAGAAGCAGAAGAGAGGTTTCCAAAGCCTTGGAAAGTTATAAGCTGGAAGGGAATGTGTGGGCTGTTGGGTGGCTTTATTTTTTTCCTGTTGTTCCAATCCCCTTGCCTCCATCTCCTCCTCCTCTTGATTAACTTTTTGCCTCCCCACTCCCATTCCTCCAAAATCATCCTTTCTCCTGCCACCAGCTACAAGCTTTTACAGACCTCACCGTTAGCAGCAGCATGGCACCGAGAGGTGCAGTCCCACTGGAGCCCAGCCCAGGAAGCATCTTTGCTTCTATAGGGTGGAGACCTAGTGCAGTGGCAATGCTGGCCCTTGGCTATGAAAGAATAAGACTGTCTCCTGACAAGGGGGAGAGGAGATCCTGCCTTGGGGGCAGGGGTGACAAGGAGTTGTGACCCGTGTAAATCAGGAGTGACTCTATTGAAGCCAATGGAGTTTGGCCAGCGAGATCAGAACCAGACCTGAATCCCCAGGCTGCTCCCTTTGAGAGAGGCTTTTACCCCCTCCCACCAGCCGGGGGCATCCATACCTTCCCCAACAGCTGTGCCGATACGCTGGGATCCCAGCTGTCCTTTCCTCCTCCCATCCCCTTCCCCACTAGTCTGGACATACTGACACACTGCCCAACCATCGAGAATTACATGCTGCATCTGGTACACCCTCCTGCCCCCAGCCAGTGCTGATTCTTCAGTGTCACCTTCATCTGCCCCCGTGCAGTCATGTGGCCTCTGCGAGGAAGCTTGGTGGGCAAAGGCTTAATTGATTATTAAGAACAGTACATGCCCTCCTGCAATATTCATGGGGACTGCAGGACCAGAGCAGGGAAGCACAGGGAATTTAGGGCTAGACTGTGCAACCGTTGCTCATGTGGACGAGCTCTTATTACACAGACATGCTCCCACAGCTTCTTATCCCTCCACTGTCTCAATGGCAGCATTGCTACAACAGGGGGAAGGGAAGGACACATGCTACTGAGCTGGCTATCCTCTCACAGCCACTGCAACAGGAGCCTAGGAATGGCCAGACTAGATCAAATCCATGCTCCATCTGGTGCACTATCCTATCTCTGACTTTTCCCAGCCCCGGAGAAAGATGCAAGAACCCCACAATAGGCAGATGTGGGATAATCTGACATCCACAGGCTTGCACTCCCCTCTGCTCAAGGGCGAGTGAGGAGCATACAGACCCCGAATGCATCTGACATTTCCTCAGTGCCTGTCATGCCAGAGAGCTGACTCAGCTCCCAGCAAGGGCTTGCCTCACCTGCCGCTGCAGGAAGTGACGCTGGGGTGGGGTGCGGCAGCTGTGTCAGTTTACATCAGTGACAGACAACGAAAAGGTGACAACATCTAGGGTACATCAGGGAGGCTTCAGAGGACCTTCAAGTGTTAGAATTTGCCAGGATTTAGGAGCTAACCCCACAGCTTTTGCCACCTCCTCTACTCTGACACCACTGGGTTCTAACACCATTGCTGTCACAAACATCCTTTCTCTAAATTACCATATCCCACTAAAGCCAGCCGTGTGGCAAACGGGCTACTCTAACCCCCCAGGTGCTAACACTGTTAAGTATTCCAAGCACTGCTATTTTAACACCCCCGGAGCTAACATTATCCCTGCCACAAACTCCACCACTAACACCACAGGGGCTAACTGCTAACGGGCTCTTTCATGGCCACCAGGGGGCAGCCCTTTGCCAAGGGTCGGTTGGGTGTTTTGGAAAGTATTTCCAGGTCATTTTCTTAACTAGCCAAGACAAAGGGAATGTCATAAAACAGACGTGTTGCTATCATAGTCAAGCCTAAGTGAGTGAAATAGAAACCCTATGAAAGCAAACGCAATAAAATGGTAACTAAAGAATATCAGGTGTTGACGAAAGGTCTTCTATTGAATGCAAACTTAAACATGGGCCCTGCAATGTCACAATTACCTCGGTAGTGATAAGCAACATGTTCCAGCTGGATATGCGCATTCATCCCCTTCAGCTGTTCTGCCATGGGAAGCACAGATCCCTTTGTCCAACGTCTCACTAGGCACGTTCTTGCTGCTGACAGTCCTGCTTCCTGGAAATGTTCTTTGATGTCTGTTTATTATAACTCTCGCTAAATTATTTACAAAGCAAACATCTAGGTTAAACCAACTGAAAACTGCCAGCAGCTCTCATTAGCCACTACACGGCATCTGAAAAATGCCACGGCCAGCAGTAGAGTGAGCCCTCACCTCCCCTACCCCTAACTGGGACACTGATTCCGAACGGACACACAGGGAAGTGTGCTACCTACTGAGTTATCAGGGCCACAGCCTGGCTGTTCCCTGGAACTCTTCTATCCACAAGGCCTTGGTTGGTGTCTCTCTGAGTGAGTGTCAGGGCATGTTTTCTTAAGGTGACTTTTGGAAACTCTCATTCAACATGGATGTTCTTATCTGTCTCACCCTCAGCCTTCAGAGTGCTTTTCATGCCCATATCTAGCACGAAGCCTTTCAAACCCTTGTTTTCTGAATCCCGGATGGTTATTCCTACAGAGATGGCTAGTGATGGTGAGGTGATAATGGGTCACCCCACCATGTTACTCTTAGATTTTAGATGTCTGCCTGATAAATTGCTCACTTTCCAAGTGTGTGTTAACACTGAGCAAAAGCCAAGTGTGTTCCCACCAAAACCTGGCACTGATGCGTGCTGCAGAATGCCAGCTGGAGGCAGAGAGACTGGCATCCTTTGGTTAAAAAAACAACAAAACAAACAGGATTTGTAGTTTTTCTTCCAAGGGAGGAAGCATTTTGGAAAGATAGTTATAAATAAATAAATAAATAGTTATAAATAAATGGTTTAACACTCCCTGCCAGCTGACATCAGGAAACAGAGAATGTTCTTTTCTTTTGGAGGCTGAGATTAGGACATGTCCTTCCAGTTAACACTAGATTGTTCATCAACTTACCTTTCTAAAGGAACCCCAGATAAGGCCTGTGCTTAACACTAGCTTGTAGATTATTAGCAGTCATGTTTATTATGGTAGTGCTTAAGGAACAACCAAGATTGGGTCACCATTGTGCTAGGCACTGAGCAAGCACAGAGGAGTAGAGACTTGCTTTGAAGAGCTTATGCTCTAAACCAACAAGGCAGATACAGGAACTACTAGAGCTGGGCAGAGAAGGGAAATGTTATCTCATGGAGGAATTTGATATTGGGTCATTTGGTTTTGTTCTGTTTAGGAATGAAACCCCAACATTTCAAAATTCTCCATGAAAGAAATTTTAAAACCCACCATCTTGTTTCAGGTACATCTCAATGTTTTGTGTTGACTTTGGCCTCTTTTAGTTTATATTGTATTATAATATATATAAGCCACAGTTTTAAAAAATCAAAAGGAAAGGAAAAATCTAAATATTTTATTTGGAAAATGTCAAAACAGACCATTTTGACATTGGTAGAACGTTTCCTCCCTCATTTTCTGCTAAATGAAATTTTGGCAAAGTTGACAATTTCATTAAGTGCTTCACTTTCAACAGAACTGCACCCTCTGATGGAAAATGGTTCTGTCAAAGCGTTTCTGACCATCTCGAAATATAACATGCAAGCAGAGTGATCAATGTGATGGTGGCAAACACTATGCCAGTGCTATGATTTTTTGGGGGGTGGGAGTTTAGTTAGGGAGGGATTAGCCAACAGAAAGACAAGGGAAGGGAGAAGCGGGAGGGGGACAGAGCTAGTGAGAAGAGGGCAGGGAAGAAGGTCTGAGGTGGAGTGAGTCTGCAGTGAAAAGATAGTGTGATGGGGTGGGAGGGGACTGAAGCAAACAAGGGCAGTCCAGTCAAACTGTATGAATTATCATGAGTGTCCAGCAGTCCCTGCTTTGGCTGCTTCTGCAGCTGTTGTGCAGGCATCAGTCTCTGGCTGGCTCCCCCCTGCAGTTTCCCAGACCACACAGCTGAGGATAGGGGAGACAATAGTAATGGATCCTTGATAATGCTCCTCTTCTAAAGGAATGAATAGGCAATCAGGGAATGATGTCACAGTGCAGAGGGTCAGTGGTATATTCCTATGGGCAGACACGGCCATGTATGTCTTGTGCAGACCAGGAAGGGTTTCTTGGTCCAAGCCAGTTAGACTGGTGAGAGATCCAGTACCTTTATGAACCTCATTTGAGATCTCCAGTGTCCCAAGTGGAGCTAGTGGCACCTTAGAGACTAACAAATTTATTTGAGCATATAAGCTTTCGTGAGCTACAGCTCACTTGCATGCATCCAATGAAGTGAGCTGTAGCTCACGAAAGCTCATGCTCAAATAAATTGGTTAGTCGCTAAGGTGCCACAAGTCCTCCTTTTCTTTTTGCAAATACAGACTAACACGGCTGCTACTCTGAAACCAAGTGGAGCTGACACCTTAATCTAACTCGCATGGCATTATCCCACAGAGGGAGCAAGGCCTATAGAGAGAGGGGTCCTGTTAAAGGGACATTACTGAGCAAATGGCTTTACTGGGGATAGACCTGCCAAAAGGATAAACCTATTCAAGGGGCAGATCTGTGAAAAGCATGAAGCTGCTCTAGAAATTGTCTTTTTACAGAGAGAGACGTGCTTATGGGATAAGATTGTTAAAAGGACAGAGTGGTTTAATATATCATGCTGTTAAATGCAGGGACACTTTAAAAGGATAAACCTGCTTAAGAGACAACAGTGTTAAGGGGACAGGTGTGCTCAAGAGGTAATGCTGTTAAAGAGAAAGAGCTGTAAAGGAAAATGTTTCTTAAAGGCATATGCCTACCGAAGGGCTAGCACAGTTAGCACTGTTTAAGGAAGCGGCATCTTAAAGTAGTCCATTACTCTGTGTGTTGGCATGAGCTGTTGAATCGGTTTATGCTGTTCTGAATTTGGGTACTTGACAAGTCAAGAATTTCTCATGCTATCTCAGAGCAGATCAATGGATGGTGCAGCCAAAAGCCAGAAGTACCTGGATGTGGTCCTCCCCACTTTGGTCCCATCTCTCATGTGACTCTGAGGTGTCACCTGCCCCTAGATCAAATGCCCTCCCATCTCTCTCTCTCTCTCTCCATCTACAGTTTTCAGGGTCTTTTGTGGTTTCCAGCAAGGGGGGAGGGCTGAGCATTCATGAAAACTTAAACACTTTATTAATGCCGAAGTAAAAACAATCCTCTCCTTGTGTCAAGCTAAACTGCTCCTGAAGGCGGTTTGGAAAGAGGCCATGGCTCTGTATGATACTGGTGGCTTCAAGGCAGAAATATTTAGTATTTGACCTTGTTATTGTTCAGTCAGCCAAGTGCTTGGGGGTAGGGGGGGAGGAGTTGTGGCTCACAAGCTCGGTGTATTTAAAAGTAAAAACACTTCCTCTCTAGAGCAGGGGAAATGTCCATTTTTATTAAATTCTTTCTTTCTCTGCTACATCTGCATAAAAACAGGGCTAAGAGAGATCCGAGTCCCTCTCAGATCCTCCCCAAATTGCCCGAGGACAGCAGAAAGCGTGGGGATGAGAGAGAACGAATCCAATCTGTATTCGGGGCGCGGTAATGGATTGTTGGCTGGTACCAAGGACACTGCCAGAAGGGCCTCCAAGCACCTGTCAGGAAAATGTACTGACGCAGGGCACAACTTTTACTGACTCTGCCCATTCATTACTGACAGGGACAGTAGGACGTTGTCAGGAAGGCAGCGTGACTTTCAAATGCCCAGCTCACTGAATGCAGTTATTCTCTCAAAAATGCAGTTAGCCAAATGGTATGCAGAGCTGGACTATCCAGTAATGCCAGCTAGCAGTTCAGAACATGCTTGGGTGGCCACACAAAGCCACAAACCCTTCTCCTGTTGGCATCTATGCCCAGGGGAGAACAGAAATCTTGTTTAATTGCTTCTCTTCATGGGGGCTGTAACCAGAGTCCGTTCCAGCTAACTACAGCAATCCTGTTCCAATTCTTGTCTTCTGCAGCAGGGGATTGTCCCCAGGCCCTGTTCCAGCGAGACACAGAGATTCACTTGTGTTTCTTTTCTTCCTGCTGTCAGGGTCTGTTGCAGCTGGGCACAGGAAGTCATTTATGTTCTCCTTCCCGTGGCTTTGCACAGCGTCAATGCCAGGTGGGCACAAAAAACACACAAGCAAAAACAAAGTTATCTCCATGAACTAATCAAGCTTTCTTCTGGAGGCTAGGAAGGAACAAAGAGAGAGAGAGAGATTGTGATTGCTAAATACTTGGGAGTTTTTCAGACCCTGCAGTGGCAGGGGACATACAAACACCTAATACAGCCAGATAGATAGGAGCAATATGTGAAGCGGTAGTTAGAGCAGGCCTCGGAAATATTGCATGTGACCAGAAATAGACACATATATATGCCTTGCTCTATAGCCACATGCACACAGAGAGCAGGGTAACATGATAGCACAGTATGGTGTCAGTGGTGTAAAGGTTTTTTCGGACTGACCAGCATGACTCAAGAGTGATGAGCAAGACAGGCAAAGCAGCCCATACCACCAGGTGTTCTCTCTAGAGACCATGAGTGTGCATGTATAATGCTGACAGACCCCAGTCGTAGACAGGCAGGATCGAACCTGGGACCTCCGGAGCTTAGTGCATGAGCCTCTACCGCATGAGCTAAAAGCCAGCTGGCTGATAGCTAAAGCTGTAGAACAGACTAATTTTCTCTCTCTCTTTAAGTGGTCTCGGTGCCACTAGATGGGACAGACCACCACACCCAGCATGTGACCTCTTTACTGTAGGAGTCAACCCCAGTCTGCAGGCCCAGCTGCTTTCAGTTCTATTATGGTTTTTTAATCTGCCCTGCTCCATGTTTACCTTATTTTCTGTCCCTTTCTGCCTCTCAAGCTTCCTATTCTCCATCTTCTTGGCTTCTTCTTTTCCTCATTTCCTACTTGTTCCTTCTCTTGCTCTCCACCTCCATTCAGTCCTTCTGCTCCTATCTTCCCACTCATTCATTCATTCTCTTCCTCACCCACAGCCAGTCATCTCCACCCAGCCAGCCACACACCCAGTAGGCCAGTCACCCAGCCTTACATTCAGTCACCCAGGCTTCTCTGTATCTCTGGAGACAAACTGGGCTTGCAACCTGACTGCTGAGGGAAACATGGGAGGGGGCCTGGAGGCCTGAGGAGAAGATGCTTCTGGAGCGGGGCGGGACAGAGTGCCCCAAGCTGCTGCAGCAGACAGGGCAAGGAGCAAATCAAGCTTCCGGCACCATCAAAGAGCTGGGGTGGGAGCAGTTCCTGGCTGTGGCCAAAATGGGGTGCTGCTATGCAAAAGTTCAGTACAGCCACCACCCTGTAGCCGGAGGTGAAAGCACACTGGTCCTTTCACCAGACAGCTGCTGGCCAAGTGGGCTGATGCCTATTTGTCTGGTTCTCCAAACTGAACCTGCATACTAATTATAACTGGGGCCATTGCAGGTTAGGCACTTGGGGTCTTGTGGAGCAAGACTATCATACAGTATAAGCCAAAGAGAGGTTGTGTTGATACCCACCTGAACGTATAAGATGGACAACACGTAGCTGTTCTGGTGTGCATTAACAACAGTGGATCCTCTTGCAGTGGTGGCCTGGTTTAACTCCCTTACCTTCTTTTCTCTGGCTTCTCTGTCGGGCACCAAGAATGATTACACCCCACGCTTCAGTTGCATCATCAGCTGCCATGGTTTCTCACATTCCATCACAGGACAGCAGGATGTTTTATACTACAACTAGTTATTGCCGGGGGTCACTGTATGATATATCTAGAAAGCCAAGAATACCACCAATCACAAACAAATCAGGTTCAGGTCTGTGTTCAGACACATGTGCAACGTCCCTTGAAGTCAATAGTAATGGTGCATGTCCTGATATAGGAAGTCTAAAGCCTTAATGAATAAGGGCTGGATCCTGCACTGGTGCTGATATTTCGTCACCAGAAATACCATGAAAGCCAATATTGGTGAAGTGGGAATTTCACACAAACCTAAGGGAAGAGATGTTCTCCGTCAAACAACTTTTTAAGTACCACTTAGCACTTGTTACCTACCAATGCGGAGAAACGTTTGTACCTGGCTCTAAGGATCCCTTCTACTGAGTACAGTGAGCTAGCACAGCACTCGATCCAATATGTATTGACATCACCAGAAAGACTCCTACTGACTTCAAAGGGTATTGGCTACAGCCTTTACTCAATGCTGTTTAAAGGGACCGTCAACTTGACAACCCCATTTCTGTCTGACTATTGACTTACTTTGTACATTTGGCCCTTTGGCCCAAATCCTCCAAGGTATTTAGACACCAAACTCCCTTTGATTTCAATAGGAGTTAGGTGCCTAAATACTGTAGGATCTGCAACTTTCTGCATTCCCTTCTATAGTCAGCCAGTTTTCCCCATTGCTTTTCATGCAGCAACCAGGAAGGGGGAGGACATTACAAATAATAACAATTTGATTGTAACAACCCAAAACTTGGGAGTAGGATCGCGGAACAGGGATCATTTTCATCACATTTCTTTTAATGGACTAGATTTCAAGTTGAAGGTGTCCCTTTAATTAAACAGATGAGGTAGTATTTTGAAATCACACTATTGTCCTGTCATGTGACAACAAATCATTTAGACTCTCGCTGCCCATTGGCCTTTTGAGCTCCAAAGGCCAATATCTGACTTCAAGATGGCAGCACCAGCCATTTCGTTAGCCACAGTGTTGGTGTCTGATCACAGATGTTGGTAACGTTTCATGAGCAAAATGCAAGGCAGTCCATCGCAATGAAAAACACTCTGCAACAAAACACCAGAGACAGCCTTGTTCTGCTGCCTCAGGTTGAATCTGCTCCCGTGTTGCCTCTTCTGTTTTGTTTCCCATCTTGTAAGACTGTCTTTACTCCACTATGGGAAAGAACTTAGCGAGCAGCAGTTTAATGCATGACAATCCTCTTATTACTCCTAAGAGCGCAGCTGTAAATAATTAACGACTTGAGAAATAGAGATTTTTTTTTTAAATTGTTGACTTTATTTTCTTTCTTGACTGGCTATTAGCGACCTTCTTAAAGGATTTCTTATGGAAACTGTGATCTCTCTGTCTCTCGGTCTCGAGGTGTGTGTTTCGAATGCTTTCTGGTGCAATGTTTAATGCTGTTTGTATTTCTGAAGTGTAATTTTCAACCTTTGCTGGAAACCTAATTCGCCTGGTTTTAATTGGTGGGGCTCAGAGTCCTGCAATTTTTTGCAGCTTTTAGCTTTTTTGATAAGTTAAAGCAAGGAAAAATGTTAAGCAAATAAATAAAACACAACAAACTTCTGAGGAGAGGTTTGAAACAGAAACTGGATGACGGAGACCAATGATCTGAGTGGATGAGGAAGATTCTTCCAACCCAAGTATTAATCTCCTGCTATACTACGCCAGACGGGACTGTACAGTCTCTTCACTGAATTAGATCATCCCGCCATCTGCTGTACATACTCTCTCAAACTCCAACTGAAATAAATAAATAAAAAATTCATATTTTAACAAATTCTGAGCACTTATTTTCTTCAAGCAGAATGTGCTGAATTCCAAAGGGGAGTTGATGTGTTGGGGAATGGTGAGCAGGGAGGTGGTTCTTGGAGCCTGGATGATGCATCTGCTGCATGCAAGAAGTAGTCCCATTGACAGAGCGTATTAAATATATTACCCATTTAAAAAGAAACATTCCATTGAAAATAAAATATCTTGAAACCACTGCAGGATTTTTTTAACAGGCACTGTAGTGTTATGATGTAAAAGTCACAGGTATGACTACAGTAAATGCCTTCGTTCAACTACAATCTACATACTCGATACAGAAATCTCCAGGTGAAATTCAATGGGCCACGCTATGCAAAGGTCAGACTAGATATTCATAATGGTCCTTTCTGCCTCAAAAATGTATAAAATCCAACCTATTTCTTGCTAGGCAGTGCCAGAATAGAAGAAAGAAGGGGCAGAATTGTATTGCACCAAACTCAGCACTGCATAGAAGGTTGACTACACTGGAGAATATTAACTGGCACGATAGCTGGGAACATGCTATTGACTGCTTTACAAGCTAAATGTGATGATATCTTTAGTCTGCATAAAACACATTTTTTTTAAAGTGTGGCAACCTATAAACCTTTAATAACAAAGCATTATTTCTACCCGACAAAATTCCTTAGGGCATGAATAAAATTATTATGGTTAAAATATTTACAAGTCTTTAGCTAGCTAGATTAGGTTAGATGAAATCACCCACCCCAGAGAGTCTGGCCCCCACGATGGGTACTTTTCCCTCAGCATGCAGCTACTGATAAATGGCACAGGGGGTTTCACTAAGAAAATACTGTTTTCAGTAATAAAATACAGCATGGAAATGACAATAATGCTGGCAATTGTTCTCAAACAAGTTTTGTTTTAGGGTGGGGGAGGAGCCAATATTTTTTAGGAAAAAAATTAGTGTGCAAAATCATTTTAACCAGCTCTACTGTAGAGGCTCTGTAGAGAGAGCAGTGAAACACTATTCTCCCTCCCTGGATTTCCCTGCATGCCATCTGGATGCTGCACCGGGGGCTTGCTGGCGGGACAATATCTCCAAACATATTGCAACCTTGAATAAAAAGTGATGCGTTGGAATTTGCAGTATTCAGCTCAATCCACCCTCTTGCTCCAAGATTCAGATGACATAGGAGAATAAGGGATGGTCAGGCTCACAGCTGCTGTGGCAGATGGATGGTGACTGTGGGCTTTGGATTTGGGGGCTTTGGATTTGGGGGCTCGTATGTTTATTCCTGAAGAAAGAAAGAAAGAAAGAAAGAAAGAAAGAAAGAAAGAAAGAAAGAAAGATTAGGCTGCTGGAACTTGAAGTCCTCACTCATTTGTTACTCAGCTTTTACTTAGTCAAAACTCCACAGGGTTGGGCTTAGTATGGAAAGATCTTTCTGATTCTGAAGGCAACAATACACTGGTGAAAAGAGGTTCACTATAGTGCTGCTTATTTATCTGAATTTGGGGAAGAGGGAATAGAGAGGGACAGATGATATTGTCCAAAGTGAAGTACTAATGGAAGTACATAGAGCCAGGAGAATTCAGGAGGAGAAGGCATAGCAGAAGAGAGTGTTTATTGCACTGGTAGAGCAGGTAATTAGATACAGGCTTATTACAAACAACAGATAAAATTATTACTCATTTGTATTATAGGAATGCCAAGAGACCCCAGTCAAGATGGAGGCCTGTAATAGGATACATTGATCCTTTAAGGCCAGAGGGGCAAATCAGGAATTCTGGAGCAGATGAGGACCTACTGAATTGCAGGGACAGATGCTGGAGGTTTTTTTCAGGGTAATAGTGCCTGAGGATAAATCCCAGACTACTGTTTCTTTAAGGGTTCAGGCGGAGAAGCCATGTAGTGAAGAGTGGGACATGGCTCCCATCTCTCCCAGCCAATCAGGACAAGCTCTGGGAAAGAGGGCAGTCTATAAATCTGCCTCTTCCCTTATAGGAGGGAGCAATTAGCAGAAGGACTGCTTGCTTCCTGACTTCTCCTTGCCAAGGGGAGAAAGGACTGAGATGGTTTGACTTGACCATCAAGTGATGGAGGAAGGCTGGAAGACTGTGCCCCGGGCGGGCCAGGGGGAAGGACTTTTGTTATGAAGGTTTTGTTTGGTGTTCTGTTTGTTTCACAAGACTTTGCTGCCAGTCTGGGTGGAACCAGGTGAAGGCAATTTAAAGGGACCTGCTGGGAGAAGCCAGCTGAAGGGCTACAGCCTATGACAAGACCCCATTATATAGTGGGCTGACTTAGCCCCAAAGAGTTTACAGTCCAACTAGACAAGCCAGACAAAGGGTAGGAGAAAGGAACACAGAGGGAGATGTGGGAAGAACCTTAAATTGGGGTGGTGGGTATGTTGCAATTTAAATCTTACTTATGTTGGCCTGATTTATTGATTGGAATGGCAGAGGGAGTAGCAGAAAAGGAACTGGGTGTAATGAATGTTATGAGAAGATCCTGAAGTATTGGCGATTTGAGACTAAGTTGTGTTGGCAGAAAAGCTAGCTTGGCACATTTTGAAAGGTGCTGAGCAACTCTCAGGAGGTATAGAGCATTGCCTGCACTATGCTTGATTCCAATCAGTATCAGGCCCTTTGCTTTCATAAGTACCAAAAAATGCACTCCGCTCATCACAAATAGTAGCCACAAGAATGCACTGGGCTCTGGGATGTTGTTTGCTGGAATGTAAAAGAAGATTGCATCTGGACTGATCAGTGCTCCCATCGGGACCAGCATTTCAAATCACAGACTCTATGAATTGTCAATTGTGTTCGAAAATAAGACCCTGATTATAATCAGCATTACTGAGCCTGCTGTGACTGATAGCCATTTTGCAAAAGTGACCCAGTGTGTGTCACTGACTGCAGATAAGTCAACCTCTCTGTTTCCATCTCTGCGTTGAGAGAGAGAGAGAGACTGCTTTTAAAGGAACGTGGCAGCTGGATTTTTTTGTTTGTTTTAATTTGCTTAGTGTGTCTCATGAAGCCCACTTAAATTAATTGTTATGGGACTTATTTTTTATTAATTCTTCATAATTTCATGGATGGCAGGTTGTGGTCTTTATTGAAACCCAGTGGGGAATTTCATGCTTTTCAACAAGAAACAAATATGGTTCATTTAAACTGGGGTGTCAGAAAAAACTTATGACCCCCCCCCATTTTCACACTTAGCTAAAATTAAGGCGGTAAATACCCCCCCACCCCCCGTAAATCCTGAGAAGAATAGGAAGCGGGGCAGATTCTCCTCCTACAAAGCTTAGTTTCTCTACACTGCCCCTGGCTCTCAGTGCTTTACATCTCCATGTAGAGAAATGTGTTCTCCTCTCCATTCTCCATGGCAGGATGTTGGGGGTGGGGGGAGAAGAGACAAGTGGTACAACGTAGGGGCTCCGGGAATTTAGCAATGTGAGACAGTAGGCTGGCTTCCCAGCTATGATTAATCCTATTGATATCACTTAGACAGTGTGATATGGCCTGACTGTAGGCAGAAATGGTTTCCTAAGAAATAATCCTGTGCGGAGAACCTACCTCCTAAGTGTAGAATAGGCAGAAGGACCTACACCCAGGCCCCAGGATAGGGAGTGGATCACAGGTATGCCAAAGATGTGGTTGGATTGCACTGCACTATGGCTATTCTCTGCTTTCCAGGGCTCATAGGAAACTTACACTGGAGCCTGGTTAGATCACTACATGGCCCTACGATACGGGGAATGCAATACCTAGTGTTTCATGGGAAAATGAAGAATTCCTTCTTCTGAGCAGGTCTGCCAACTTTCTAATAACACGAAACCGAACATCCCTGCCTGGCCCCTTCTCTGAGGCCCCACCCCTGCTCACTTCATCACTCACTCTCCTCCACCCTCACTCACTTTCACTGGATTGGGGGAGGGAGTTGGGGTGTGGGGGATATGGGCTCTGGGCTCAGGGTACAGGCTCCAGGTGGGGCCAGAAATGAGGGGTCAGGGTGCAGGAGAGGGCTCTGGGATGGGGCAGGAGGTTGGGGTGTAGGAGCAGGGTGAGTGCTCCAGTTGGGGGTGTGGGCCCTGGGGTGGAGCTGGAGATGAGGGGTTTGGGGTACTCCAGGGGGCTCCAGGCTGGGGCAGGGGGTGGTGAGGGCTCCGGCTCGGGGTGTGGGCTCTGGGGTGGCGCCAGGGATGAGGAGTTAGGGGTGCAGGACGGGGCTCCAGGCTGGGGCAGGGGTTTGGAGCGTTGGAAGGGGTGTGTGAGCTGCAGGCTCCTGGAGGGAGTTTGGGTGTGGGAGGAGACTCCAGGCTGGGGCAGGGAGTTGGGGTGCGAGAGAGAGTTTGGGATGCGGGATCCTGGTGGCACTTAACACAGCTCTGAGGAAGCAGCCACCAGGTCCCTGCAGCCCCTAGGCCAGAGAGGCTCCACACGCTTCCCTCCGCCCACAGGTGCCACCCCCACAGCTCCCATTGGTCTCAGTTCCCAGCCAATGGGAGCTGCAGAGCTGGCACTCACGGTGGGGGCAATGTGCAGAGCCACCCTGGCTGCCCATGTGCCAAGGGGCCCCAGGGCATGCTGGTCACTTCCAGGAGATGCATGGAGCTAGGGCAGGCAGGGAGCCTGCCTTCGCTGTGGGTCCTCGCTGCGCAACCAACTGGACTTTTAACAGCCCAGTTGGTGGTGCTGACTGGAGCCGCCAGGGTCCCTTTTCCATCGGGCGTTCTGGTCAAAAACCAGATGCCTGGCGACCCTACTTCTGAGGAATAAGTGGATCCATGAACAAACCCCTTTTATTTATTAATGCTTTAGGGATAGGTAGCAAAGAAGCACTATATAGATCATTATACGTGTCATTGTACATCTCTCTAATCACATGTAGCATTATGAATTCACTGCCAGAGGTAGTCACTGCTAAAGGCAGATACTGGCCTTGATGGGCCAATCATCTGAACTGGTATCACAAACCCTCTGTTCCTACCACAGGTCTGATCTGAAAGCTGGTACTGC